TCAGGGTCTCCACTCTCCGAGGTAGAGAAACAAGTGACAAGGGCCTGGACTGCAGCCATGTTAAGAGCTTCTCAGGGACCTGGGCTCTATCTTCAAACACAGCATGCAGAGCTCTGGGGAACACACAGATCTGGGCCCAAATGAGGCTCACATTCCTCTTGCCCATGATGGGGAATAACAGCGGCAACTGTCACAAGCGTCCTTCAAGGTTCGAGTGAAGCACTTAGTGTAGTGTACAGTACAGGCAAATGTCCAACCCAGGGTGGCCGCTCTCATCATCACCACCACCAGCACCATCATCGTCATGACCATAATTACAGGCACCCTGAACCCTGGTACCCCAACAGGACCCTGAGAAGCCCCAACTCCCTCTACCATCCCTCCCCAAGTATGGCCTTTATTTCTAACAGAGCAGAGAAATTCCATATAGCATGGCTCCATTACCCCTGTATTAGCTCTCAATCTTTGGTCTCCAGCATTCCTCCAGAGCATGTCAGCCCCTTACCCTTCGGGCCATGGTCTGAGCCTCAGAGGAATGCAGCCTCCTGTCCACAGCTCTACAACAGGAGAGCTGGAGAAGCAGTGCAGAGGCTATGCAGGGGTTCCTGGGTCCCTGAAACCCCAGGACACTAACCAGGGTACAGCAAGGGCCTTCCCAGATCTCCAAAAATGCCAAGTAACCCACCTTGTCCTCAGCCTTGTAAGCAAGAGGTTTGATGACTCCAAGAGCCAAAAACAACTTTAGAGCATCAAAAAAAGGCAAGGTTCCCCTGCACTGTAATTAAATTCCTGTCCAGCGGTAAAGAGGATTAGGAGACGGGCACTGACAGCACCTATCCATATCAGTGATCGATGATGCCTCTTGAGCTGTCCGAGGATGGAGAAGAAAGGGAAAAACAAACAGAAGGCCTGGTTTGATGGGTTATGACATCCTCTCATGGAAAGGCATGCAAACACTTGGCTCTCTTTGAAGGACTTTCTACTGGAGCTCTACAACCTGCCCTTTGCCAGCTCGGACTTCCCTGGCCCCTGGCTGTGCAACCCAAGGACTCTTCTTATCACATCCTCACATCAGCATGGATTACTGAGATCTGTTACACACAAGTGCCTTATCAACTGCGAGATCTCACTTAAGCATCAGAGCAACCCTCCAGATAGGCATTCCCTACATCTGAGGTGAGGCAAGCCAAGTACTACACTCGAGAAGGCCTGCATAAAGCCAGCCATGAGCCCCTCAGTTACTGCACATAGTAAGTCCTCACCTCCTGCCATTAGGAAGCTGGCAAGCCTCTCGGTACCTACTGCAGTTAGGGGGTCTCACCTCCTGCCATCAGGAAGCTGGCAGGTCCCCTGGTACCTACTGCAGGTGGGGGATCCCACCTCCTGCCTTCAGGAAGCTGGCCATTAACTGGCCTACTATTAAAAAAGTGGCAAGGCTCTCCAGGCCCTGACCAACATGTTCTGACCTCACTGCCAGGTTGCCTACTCCCCATCTCATCTGAATTTCTATTTAACCACCTTTAACAGATTTCTGATGCGATTAGCTATTCAACTTTGAAGTTCCCTGCTCTCTCCACAGGGCACTGTGATGACAGCAATGTTTGTACCTCAGAGAACAGAGGCCAAGGGGACGAGGCCAGTTTAGCCAGGCCAGGATGCAAGCACCAAAGCCAGAGCAGAGTAATCCAGATCCAGCCACCAGGGCTGGTGCTGCCAGCGTCATGCAGCCCTAGGGTCTGTCTCTTGCCTGCAACCCAGGAGTGAACCAGAGGGCAGGCCACCCAGTCCCATAGGTAGGACATCTTCACTCCAACCACATAGAAGGCTCTTCACATGTGGGTAAAGGAAGTCTTCACTCACCTATCTACCTGAGGGCCCTGAGACAACCTCACCAGGAGGCCCAGGTTGTCTCTGATAAGAAGTGTTTTTCCCCCTCCAAGCAGCAACCACCATGATCCCGGACTCTCCATTTCCAGACATGATGCTAAGCTGGAGATCTCCCCTCCAGCACCTGATGGCTAACAAGGCAGAGATGAGAAAGGACCAGATAAAAGATAGCTAGGGCAGACCCAGCCTGCTTCCCCGACACCACTGGTGAGACAGAGCCCCAACTTCAGTGCCCAAAGTGGCCTGCATTTCTCCACTTTCCCCATCAACTCAGAGCTGGGTGGTAGTGCTATATCTCCCAGCCCCATCTGGAGTTTGCACGTTGGCTGAAGGCACCAACACATAGCAGCACCAGGACACAAAAAGCCATCACAAAGAAACGCAGGACAGAAAGATCTGGCAAAGTGTTCGAGGACCTTGAAACATCCCTGCAGCTGCTCCCTTGGCTTCCCACCTCCACATGAGGCAGGGGTAGTCTTGGAGACTCATCTTCTTCTCTGAGAGCTCTCTAAGCAGGCACGACAGTACCTGTTTTGCAACTGAAGGTATGGCAGTGATTTCTTCTATGAGATGCCTGAGACTCACCCTTCTTCCCAGAGTGACACTCAAGTTCTGAGAGGTGGACAGTAGGTCACAGGTTACAAAGCCTACCTGCCCACCGCAGAGGCTGCTGCCTGAGGCAGAGACTCTGTCCTCAACTGATTTCCTGCACCCAAGTCCACACGTATGACCACGAATGAAGGTGGAGTCAGGGATGTCAGAGGGGGACATTCCCTTCCTCAGCTCTCTCTGAATATAGACTGGTCGTGCTGCTGCTGGCCAAAGCAAATATTTTATGAAGTACCTCACTGACAAGAAAAATGCCAACAAGTTTCCTTTCCCTTAATAGTTCATTCTGTTTTATATTCAAAGTAAAATGAAGAGGATCGCCTGGCAAAATGTTAAAGCTTTAATTTCAAATCACTGTTAATGCCTGTTTCATCTGACAGTGGCTTTGAAAGCAAAAGGCAATCTTTATCATTTGAGGTTTTTAAAGTAAATTGATGTGATTATGTCCAACATAACCAGATGCTTCTAAAAGCCAATTTTCAGAGTGACATCAACCCCCAAAATAAGAAACTCTTCCTCTGGCTACTAATAAATTATGAAAGTACTATCTCCATAGGAGGATGAAGAGGTAGCTCAATAATCAACGGCAGACAGGCCACCCCAAACTCCCTTCACACAACCGCCCAGCTGCCTGCTGGTCAGTAGGGCACCATGGATCCCGCTGTGGCCACTGCCTCCTAGCCTTCCCTTGTGTCCCCTGCTCATGGGAGCAAATCACCCACCTGCTTCAATGCTTCAACCAGGAATTGGGCTAGTTTAAGTTCATCATGGTGACTCCATCTTCTCCATCAATAGCTGGCCAATGAGGGCCCCTAGGGACGGTGTCCTTGTTCCACAACAGAGAAATACACTTCCTTTCTGTCTCTAGATGTGACACTAGGTCTGCACAGTCACCTTGCAGTCATCAGAGAGGGAGCTTGAGCGCCCAGCTGACAGAGAGATGGGAAGACCCAGGTATTTGGTCTTTGTCCCTTCCTTAGTTCTGCTCAGAACATCCAAATCCTTGGAATTTCCTAAGTGATAGGAGTGTCTCTTATTTTTTATAATCACCCCTTTTGATCACATCTGAGTTTATTCTGAAGTGGTGACTCAGGTGGGGCCCCTACGTAGGCTCAGGGTGGGGCTGTTCAACAAAATTACCAATGATTAGAGGTAATTCTAGCTCCATCTACCATCTCCAGAGAGAGAGCAGAGGGTACTAAGAACAGGCTGTTAAAAACTCCTTTTTTTTTTTTTAAGTTATTCATTTCTTCCATGAAGAGAAGGAAATAAATAAATAAATGAACAGACAGACAGACAGACAACACTCTCCACAGGGTCGTGATGCCACAATCCACAGACAGTCCCAGATTATGGACGTGTGTCTGGCATACTCAGAGAAGTCTCTGGACACAACCCATAGCCTTCCCATGTAGGTGAGCCTTGCAGAGCACTTCATCCTACCACCTGCCACCCTCTGGCCGCCATGCCGTATAAACTCTTGAACAACAAGACTCAGGGAGCTTCTGGGTTGGTGAACACATGGGGATATGGAGAAGGGGCATGCCTGAAGGCTCACCAGATGCTGGCCTATGCCCTTCTTCCTTTTTGTTGTTCCTGAGTTGTACCCATCATAATAAACCGGTAATATAAGCAAAGCACTTTTCTGAGTTCTTCGAGTCATTCTATTGATGATGGCAAATGATCAAACAGAGAATAGGGTCACAGAGTGCCCTGAATATGCAGCTGGATGGAGTGTGGAAAACCTGAGACTCCCCTACTGTGGCTAGCATCTGAGTGGGGCATCCTGTGGGACTTAGCCCTTAACCTGTGGGGCTGTGCTAACTCCTATAGCTAGTATCAGAATTGAACTGAACCTTAAAAGCCCCCTCAGCGCAGAGTTGGAGAGGTAGTGTTGAAAAAGACACCACATGTTTGGTGTATAGAGGCAGAAAAAATACCACCAGGCCCTGGACAGGGTCACGCAGCCACTTCCCTCTGAATTTACTAAGCTGGGAACAGTCTGCTAGCTGCAAAAGCCAGCTGGGTACACTGTCATCTTTGACAGGCAAAGATATTGGGCTGTTGGGTACTCTCTGTAGGCCTACCTGAGGGCACAAGTCTGTACACACACAGACACACATGCTTTTACCACCACCACCACCCCCGGACCAAGTTTCTACATCATGACAATGTCACACGGAACCTTACACCACTGAGAAGAGGACTATGTTCCTGATCCAAACAGAGACAGACCCCTGCATCAGTGATCCAAACCACTAAGGACCCAGTGGTAACTTGGCATGTTGTCTGAAGGTATCTCCACTGGGTCTAACTGCCACAGGGTGGAAAGACAGAGTGACTTCTACCCTCAAACCCCAGCTCCCTCACCATCTCAGGCCAAGGCAGACCAAATGACGAAGCACATCTATTACGTCATGACCCAAGTGGGAACGCGCTTCTACTCACTAATAACTCTCCAAAGCAAACATATCCCCCACAAGCACCCTGGGGTGTGGGTCTACCTGCTGGTGATGGTGCTGTTCTTGTCCTTCAAGGCAAGCTCTCTCTGCTGCAACTCCACGATGAATCTGGAAAGGTCTTCTGGAGTCCTGAGGGATAAAGAAGACACACTTAGTTCCAGCCATGCTTGAAAGTAGACTTCCTTCTGCACAGCAACAAAAGGCCAAAAGCAACGCCAGCAGCCAATGATTCAGGGACCCAGATGAGAGAACGTCTGTGGACTGTATCAAGGCAGCGTGCACTCACCAGACCTGGGTTCAATCACTGCCCGCCACTTGGTACGCAACACTAGGTAAATGACTTTTATAAGCCTTGATTTTATTTCACCTGTCAAAACAGAGATGACACGTAACAGTGTCACTGCACAGAAAAAATAAAATGTTTAAATATCACCTACCAAGTGCCTGGCACAGAGGAGGTACTCTGTAAGTATTTTCTTTCCTTCCTCCCTCCCTCAAAATATCCATACATAACAATAAGAGCAGGTCTCCACATGTATCCCATGCATGATGCTTTCACATTTTCAAAACTATTCCAGATCTCTCAATGAATGCCTTGTTGCATATTGTTTCCATTTTTTTAAATGAGAAAACAAGCCCTCATGTTAAAGGGCCAGTTCAAAGTCCATCCCACTAATAAGCATCAAATGAACCTCAATTTGAATTTTATCTTCTAACTTAGCACTGTAACTTAAGAGAGATGCTCGAAAAACTTCTTTGTAAGATTAAAAGAAGTGAATGCCCAGTAGTGTGAGAGCTTTCGCAAACACACAACACAGGCCACACAGCAGCAGCCTCCCTGGCCTGAAGTGGCCAGGTGTCAGCCACCTCATCACCCGTCACCACACCAAACATGGGGCCTTGCAGAAAGTAGGTGCTGGGGTCAGTGCGGCATGAGCTGCCCCATGGCCTCATCCCTGCCCCCTTGAGGGAAATCAGGGACAACCCCTGTATTTCTGAACAAGCAACAGTGATCCCACACTGGCTAAAGAGGCTATGACTGAAGTTACAGCATGGAGCAGATGGTCCATAAAAAGAAAGTCCTGCACGGAGCTCAAGTACGGCTGCTGGTCATGACGTTAGCCAGGTCCCAAGAGCACTCTCCTCATGCCCGCCAGTGAGCTCCTCTCTGCTGGAGTCAGTAGTGGCTGCTTACAGCCACACTGTGACCAAGGACCCCAGACAGAAGCCAGGTGGCATCACCACCTAGGGTCAGCCTGTGGCCTGGAGGTTAAGGCTGTCCACATGACGAACTATGCAGTTTGAGTCCCAGGCCCAGCAGCTTGAGAAATACACTGGTCATTTGTTTGTGTGTACCCAAAATCCAAAGGAGGAAGAAATGGAGGAGAAGGGATTGAGGCTTGACCATCCCTAGGAGGAGGAGGGTTGTTTTCTCGCTTGCTTGTTCTCGTGCTCCCCCCCCCCCCAACACACACACACACACACACACTCTGGTTAGCACATATACCCTCTGGCAAATTTGGGGGGAAAAAAAGAACCTAAAATCCCCCCACTGCACATCCTGCAGGCCTGGGATCTCTATGCTCAGGCAGACACACACTGACCTCTTCTCTGTTACCGAAACACATCAACCCTATTCGTGCCCCAAAACTTTGCACTAGTCAATCCTCTGCTTGGAAATCCTCTGCTCTTTAGACCTTCTCTTGGCCAGGTTCTCAAAATATATTTAAAAAGTCAGTTCTTTCAAGATTTCTCTGTTTAAACCCCAAGTCCCTCGCCATCCCATCACTGTTTGAACATACTGGGCTTGCTATTGGTTTGGGTATTTCTAAAGTCCATCAGCAGAATGGGATGGGAGGTCCCGAGGCCTTGCCCAGGAGGTCCTGAGGCCTCGCCCAGGAGCCACCTCCTCCTTCACATCATCAGTCCCACCCCCTGGGTCTTGCAATCAGTGCTTCCTCTGACTAAAAGCTCTTTCTGAAGAAAACACCATTGCTTTCTCCTTCCAGATCACCTCAGAGAGACCTCCTCTGACTACTGGTCAAGGGGCCCTTTATTGGGTGTTTTGTGAGGCATACGTGGACAAGGACTCACTGGGTACTGGGCAGAGAATTCTTTCTGCATTCCTCCCTAAATATATGCAACTCTGCAACTGGAAAGTACAGTCATCCCTCGATTTCGGAGACGGACTAGTTATAAAACCCCCAAAGATACTAAGCTCATGAATCTTCAAACCCCTTACAGAATATGGCGTAGTGTTTGCATATAATCTATACGCATCCTCCCACATACTTTAAGTCATCTCTAAATTATTCCTAATACTGTGTCAGTGCTATCTAAATAGTCGTTATCCTGTACTGTTTAGAGAATAACGTCAAGAAAAAACAAAGTTTGAGCATATTCAGTATAGACACCACTACCGTGGTACACAGGACACATCGGCAATAACAGAACATTTCTGATTCGGGGTCGGCTGCATACGCAGACCTGGAACCAGCAGATTTAAAGGGCCAACTATAGTTTGATGGAAAAAAAGTTAATTACTGACAGGTATTATAGAACCTGAAATCCATGAGGGAAACAAAAACTCAAACAGGCTGAAAAGAGCTTCCAAAAGTTTTCTAGTCTCAGAGAGTAAAAAACATTAGTATAAAAATAAGGAAGCAAATAAGTAAATCTTTCAAAGCCAAAAGATATTTTCTTTGATAATTATTTGAGTGTTTTAGTTTTCTCTTCATTAGCCAGAGGGGTATTTAAGTTGTTACTAAAACAATATAAAGAATTTATTTAAAACAAACAAAAATCAAGGATGTCCACACTGGCGAATTCACGTTCCACAGCGATGTGTGGGAGGCAGGGGATGCTACAGAGAGCAACATACATATGTGTAACTAGACCACCCTCTCTGCCTCATATCACACGCCCCTCGGGGCTGCCACCCATGTTTCCTCGGACCTGAAGCAACGGGAAGGGTCAAAGAAGAGACGCCGGGTCTCATTCACCATGCGGTGTCCCCCTCTCCCCAAAGAGTAAAATGCCTACAACACCCTCCACATGGAAGCTCCTGGAATCTCAGAGCAAGAAGCCAAGTCAGAAGCATTTCATGCCAATTTAAAAACAGGCTTCTCACCTCAAGATAGAAATTAGCCCAGCAAAGCTGGGAGCCAGAGGAAGACAGCAGAGGGCCAGACTCTCCTACCCCCACTTTCCAATTCTCTTTGAAGTAAAGATCATCTGAAATGTAACAATTTAATAATAAGGAGGAAATTGGGAGCAGTTCAAATGAACTGAAAAAGGAACATGACATAGCACCCTTCTGAAAGGCTCCATTCCCACGTAGGGCACAGCCCCTGCACCTTCTGGGCAGGGCCTGGGTGGTGCCCATCAGGCAGCCACACAGACCTCCGCACCATCTTCACTCAGCCCACTGGAAACCTGAACACGGAGGCAGTGATTTCAGCCACGTATGGTCTGGCTCCATATTTGAATAAATTAGGTAGGAAACTGGTCCTCTGTTCCTCCCTACAGTGCTCCTCACCCAAACCCACATCTCCTGTCTGTGATGCATGCTCTCACCCTTACAAAGCAGGTAGAGAAGAAAGTTTTCACCAAGGTAAAAGGGGCTGGGGAGTCCTAGGGCTGACATCCCCTCCACAAACCACAGATATCAGTGCTCTGACTACGACACTACCAAAAGCAGGCCCCTCGAGGCTGCTTCCTGGCCACATCCCAGTCCCCTAATCCCAGGGGCTAGCAGCTGCCATCCCTCAGTCCTCACATGGCCAGCCCCTATCACAGTGGGAAGACTTGAGGCTGCAGAGCTGGTACTTCCTGAGCAGGAAACGACACCCTACCCCCTCCTGCTCCAGCCTTGTCTCCAGGAGGGGCAGAAGGGCACAGAGGCCTCTCATGCTGAAAACCCCTCGGTCATTACTTTCACCAAATCCAGACTCAGGAGCCTTGTCTGGACACTCTTGCTTGCCACAAGACTTCAACTTCTACAAAATGCACAGCACAGTGAGCTAGATTTAAAAAAAGATTTAAAAATCTCCACACTAAACAGTTTATTCTGCCCTCGGAGAATGAGAAAAAGCTGGCAAAATATGTCCGAAAAAAAAAAAAAAAAAGCCCAACTGATGGCAGAATATACAAATTTACCCCTGTCCAGATCTCTCCAAGCTGACTCTCTAGCCTAGCTGGGCTCCCAGTTCCCTTGGCTGGGCAGTTCTAAACCCCAGGGTAAGGTGCAAGTCTTCCCACAACTGACTTCTTGGGACAAGAAAAGAGAAGAGCAACATTTAAAAGTAAAAAATTCAATCCTCATGTAAATACAGGGGAAAAAAAAGGATAAAAACATGCAGTAGTAGAAGCAATGCATGACAAATCATTGTGTAAATGTGGAACACAAAACTCAACTAACCACTACTAATCAGCATATTAAAATGTACAGAATTCGGTATGCCTTTTGTTTGGCATTACCAATCAAAAAGGAAATGTGTTCTGTCAGAGCAGTGTGTGAGTTTGAGAATGTTCCATGAGGAAAAGACAAGACAGGAGGTGGGGTTTGCAAAGTGTGGTGTGCTTTTGGACATGTAGAAGGGTAGTGTTTGGAGGGTTTTTTTGGGGGGGGGATTTTTTTTTTTAAGGGAGATTTTTGCTATAGAGTGCATGCGTTCACTGGAGAAACAGACAAAAAGTGAGAAATCGCCACCCAGGAGGAACAGCTACACTACAATCCCTTCTCTTCCATTCTCCTCTCAGGATTCTGAGCATGCATGCACATGCACCTGGCATGAGTTTCAAGCCACTGAGTCTGGGACTCAAACCACAGTAGGCCATATGGGAATGCAGCTATGTAACCATTATACCATCTGCTGGTCCCAAGGGTTTCATCCTCTGTTACTGGCTCATAAGTATTTAGCTTCTAGCCCTTGGTTCTAGAAGCAAGTTTCTGAGACAGGGCTTTAGAGAGATAAAGGTAAAAGACAGTCTGACCTCCCCTGCCATCCTTTCACTTGTTCCTTTCTTTTTGCCTCAAAGCAGGCCATAGAAACTAGCCCCAAGGTAGGTCATAGAAATTCTAATCTTCTTCCTACCCCTTCCCAAGTCCTTCATTCCAGAGGGGTCCC